AAACCAAAGTTAGTTTACATTACCTTTGATAATATCATTGAATTCACACATAGATCTGTCAGTAGTGTATGAAATGACACCTTATTTATGACAGCTCACTTCTATTTAGATCAATGTATACTATTTCTACTATCAAACATAACTGGACATACTTTTTTCTGCAGTGTTAAACTTTGAAATGCTTATTTTTACTCAATTCTTTATACAAACAATGTGCTAATGCATAAGTGCAAATTAAATTAAACTATTGATTCTCAAACTTCTAAACTATGTGTTAGTTGTCTTCTTCTTTGAGTTGAGCAACATGCATATTTTGATTATATTGTTAGATGGTGGAATGAGCTGTGCAACTAGTAGAATTTGCTGCTAATCGATTAATCGTCAGCCTTAGTAATCAGTTACACTCAACTAATCAATTGTTCACACAGATTGAATATTTGATTTACAGATGATTTGATAAACTAAGATGTAAAGAAAGCTTGTTCTGATAATAGTACTGCAACATAACATCATTTCAGGAAGAAATTTAGAACATTGCCATGGCATATCATCATTTCAACAACAAAAAATATTTTTATCCTAATTAATAGTAATGAAATAACTTTTATAATCTATAGTTTCTGTTTATGTATGTTTTTATTCATTCCAAAGGTTGAACAAACTTACTGTCGTTAATATTTATTGTCATTACAACTACTATGTTTTTTCTTTTTAGGTTGAGTTTAGAGATGAAGAAGGGACAGGTCTAGGACCCACTCTAGAATTTTATGCATTAGTAGCTGCAGAACTACAGCGAAGGGATCTTGGCTTGTGGCTGTGTGAAGATGACATTCCACATTCCATTGGTCAAAGGGTATTTGAGTGATTTTATGCAATTTAATGTTTGGGCTTATAAAAATAAACTTTTAAATTACATTCCATGTTTTGTGAATTAATATGCTGAGAGATTAATTAAGTTATTTTATGTGACAGTGTTTAATGGAGTGTGCTGTATTTGTATTATATAAATTTGAAATATTTTTGTAACATTTGCTGAAAGTTTGGCTGATTATTATGATGTTTTGAATGTTAACATCTCAATCTCTCAAGAAAAAACTGCTTAATTATTAGCTGGTTTTTGTAAATTAGTGAAAAGAAGTCATTGACTTCCAGTAGATTTTGTAATGACAAAATTTTTTTAAACATTTTGACATGTTTTCTTTGATGGAAACTAGTAGGCATAAAATTTTTTATACGTTATTCCAGTTCATAAAACTATTTGGTATTTCATTAGATCGAAATTAACTGACATAGATTTTTTATTTATTTTGTTTCCTATTGGAGTTCATTTTAAAAATCAGTTGGTAAATATTTTATAATTAGAAACTAATTGGAACCAGTGTTTTATAAACTGATTTTAGTTTTTAAAAAAAGTGGTATGGTTTAACTGAAAATCTCATCTTAGATTAAACTTTTTCTATGAAATAAATGCAAATTATTAATTTGATACATAGTATTTCTGTCAGGTAAGAGTTATAAGCTTGCACATCCTATCCAGTAGTGTCCAAAGAACCCAGGGTTTATAGTCACCATATTAGTTAAGTGCCACACACATACTACCCGATATTACTCTTAAGAACCCTGGAGTTATAGTCACCTTATTAGTTATCATTGCCTTACATATACCACTCAGCACTATCCTAACTTATAGTAATTTAAATATATTTCAAAAATATGTGAAAAGTATCATACAAATGTAATTTTCAGATTTTGTGTTGGTAACGATATGGATAATGGATTGAAAGTGTAGACTTTACCTACTCACAGCTCCACTGGATTAAATTTAATTTTGACATGATTCTAGATGTTATCTATAGTGTCTAATTTAGTTTAACTAAAATACATAAACATGCAAAAAACACCATAAATAGATCGTTATTTGTGTATTTCAGTACTATAGAACGGTTTAAATCAGTGCATATCATGAAGTAACTTTGAACTTTTTTAGTGCATAATTATTCTGAAGCTGCTTTATTTGTTTCTGTGCTTTAGCGTGAATAATTATGGGGATTTTAAATACAAGAATGACACAAAGGTTCCTTTTGTTGACTTACATTTTCCCCCTTAGGAATTAAAAGAAATTGCTAATTTTTTGTATTTTCAATTAACTCGCCATCACCACTAGAAGGTTTTTAGTAGTTTATAGAAACACTTAAAAATGTGAAATCATACAAAAGGTTTATTATATTTTCCTAAACAAATATCTAACTACCAGTATAAGAATTTATTTAATAGAAATAGAGATCAAGGATATTCCTTTGCTTCTTACATTTCTTTTCATTTTGTAATATAACTATAATGTTTTTGAACATTTTCTAACATGATACTATAATGCTTCCTCTAGGAAAAAGAAGGAATGAAACCACCAGGGTTTTATGTACAGAGTCAGACAGGTTTGTTCCTAGCTCCACTTCCTCAAGGTTCAGAAGACATTGAGAGGGTTGAGAAACTCTTTCATTTCTTGGGAATATTTTTAGCTAAGGCTCTACAAGATAACAGATTGGTAGATCTCCCTT